CCCCCCGCCTCGTGCTGCAGCGCGCGCACCAGCAGGGAGTACTGCTCCTCCGACATCTGCCGCACCACGTCCAGCAGCACGCATACCATACGACGCTGTAACGACAAACATAGGCTTATTTTGTTAATACACTAGAAAGTGCCTCATCTAGGGAATATAACACCTGGTTCACACTTGTCTAATATGAAATATAAATTAGCTCAAGTGAATATATACTATTGTCCTACTTTACTGGCCGAGTGTGAACCAGTCATAAATCATACAATTCATAATGACCTCACTATACAATCCTAGTAAGGGCTTGGAGTCTACTAGTTATTCGCTAGGCAATAATAAACGCTGGTCTACCACATGTTTAATTCACACATATCTTTAAATTTCTACACAGATATGTGCAGACATCACGATATTTTCTTCGTTGGAAAAATTCGTGTAATACAAAATGAAATTAAAATTAGTACATTAATATAGATTTAAAAACAATTAACCCTTTTCTTGTTAGTGTATCTGTAGAGATAAATCAATTTTTTTTTATTATTTTTCTACACTTTTTTTATTATTTTTTTACACCTTGGGTCATCAAGGTGTTTAGTTATGCTATGAATATTATTTTGATATTCGAAAAAATAAAATTCTGCCAAGTTAAGGGTTAAGACATGCCTTTGACATCATTTGTAAATTTGTGGCACCACACTATTAAAAAAATTACCCCTAATCCTAGTAACACTCACCACTAATGGGTCATCGACCACCGTTCCATCTTTATTAACAGCCCTATCTCTCAGCATTGTAGCGGTCGTCTTAAGTACAGTCGGCAGCATGCGGCGCGCGAACTCTCCCCTGTCAGCCTCCACCGCGCCCACATCATCCCTCGCAAGCAAGGATACCACCTCCCCCATTGTTTCCACGCACAATTCCACCTATAATTTGTTAATAAATTTAGAATATATTGACATGTTTATATTAGAGTCCTAGTACGAAATTGGATAGTAATTTAGTAGAAAAGTTCAGTATTTAAAACTGTAAATTTTGTTTCTCGTGATATAACACTTTATTGACCAAAAAACCACAAGAATTTCCTATAAAAAGTCTTTCGCAGTAGTGGATTTGGATGGGGTTTCAAGATAAACAATTACTAATAAACTCCACGTAAAAGAAAGGTTTAGAATTACTTGCTTATAAATCTTTTTGACAAAATTTTAATACAATTACACTTCTAAATACATGATTAGTATAGTATTGTTTGTATATTCAATTTCAGTTAGTAAAAATTAAACATAATTTATATTGTAACACTAACCTTGTTGAACCTTGCAGAGAGCGGCATAAAAGTAAATAATAATATTAAATCATATAATCATGATTTATGGGACTTGGTCATGCGAAGTTAAGCTATACTTACACTGCATAATGTTGAGATAACAATCTCAAAGAATATACTAACATCCATACACGACAGCAAAACATATAGAACCAAAACATGCTTTGCTGTTCAAAGATAATTTGGGCAATGTAAACCTACGGTAGTTGTAGATTTACAAGCTTGCGTTTTATGTGTTATTTAAAACATGGCGTATATAAACAGTTGTAAGGGTGTCGATACACTATCAGTATGTAACTTGTATCAAAGACGTTAATGTCAAACGGTCGAGGGATGCGCTTCAGTTACACGTATAAAGATTGAAGGACGGTGTTTCTGATATTATGCGATTATTTCATTATCTCCGACGCACGCTCTCCCATAATAGAAGATAAGTTCCGATGACCTTCGAAATTATTCTGTAAGCCGCTCGTCACTCTGACAAGTATAATTTAGGGTGAATACACATGTTGCGGTATATACAATGCGATGTTTGTTACTAAACTTACTTATTTAGGGTGATTTCACACGATGTGTTGCTATCGGGGTGTTTTAGCGGTACTCATACTTACAGCTTGTTTGTCTACATATTGGTACGGCGTGTCAGCTGTTAGGGTGTGGCTAGGTTAGGTACGTACGATGTGGGCGTGGTGCGTGTGCTCGCGCAGGCGGCCCGCGTCCGCGCCGAGCAGCCGCGCCGCCTTGCCCGCCGAGCGCGACTTGTGCGCCGCCTCGCGCTCGCACTGCCACACGCACGCACGCTACCGCTACCGCTGCCGCTTACGTTAGCCTAACCTCACCGCATTGTATGCATACTGATCTAACGAGTCGAAAACACGACTTTATTGTAGGTCTATCATAAATCGAATAGTTACATAACCGCGATTTTTTAATAATTGATTTTAGTTTAAAAAAAAAAAAACATTAAAATAGAAAAGTTTAATTTTGCTAACGTAAAATCAGTGTACATACAATAATTTTCGAAAAGCATAAAACTAATTTTTGATGTTTCAGTACATGTAGTTTACGCTAATTGTCTTTTTTTAATTTAGTTACGTAATTAATTTTATACTCTTCAGTGGCAGGTAAAGGTCAGAAGCAGGCGATAGCGTTAGTAAGCCAACAGTTACAAATATTGCAACAGATCTTAAATCTTTAATATTTATTCAACAACTATATTTACAACAGTTGGCTAAACACTCACAAACTTACAAATTGACAGTTCGTGAGTGGAGTACACTCGATTGCATTTTAAGTGTTACAGTTACCTTGATCTTTGGATCATGATACACTAACACAAATATTATCTCTCTCAAAACAAACAAAAGAGATACAAATATATTTTGTTTGTTTCTACAATGAAAATAATACAAAAAAATTAAAGGAAAAATCCGTCCCACTAAAATTGCAATCGACTGTACTTACATCAAGAGATTGCACACAACTGTAAAGCGACATCGAAAGCTCGCTTTTTTATTATTTTTTTAATAGCACATTTAAATCTGAATAAAAAACACGTTATATTCAACATCAAAAATATGAAAAAACGTATATAAAAAGTGTTACAAAATATCATATAGTCGAAATAAATACAAATAAAAAAAAGTAAACTCTGAAACTCATATAAGGTGGTGGATATAGGACTAAATGTATTAAAAAATTTATATAAATAAATCTTAATAAAAATGTTTGTGTTCGTGTAAAATTACCAACATATACACACATATACAAAACAAATACAAACATAGACTACAAATACATTGGTTAGTAATATAGTGATATCGAACATACAAACACACAAACACACAAAAACGCTGTGAGGATAAGGATAGCTCGTTCTATTTGCAACACATTCTGTGAAAGGTTATTTTTTATCAAGAGAAACGAGCTCACAATATTTTAAAGCTTCGTGAATTATGAAGTTTTTAAAACAATTACATTTGTCAAGAGCTTTATAAATGTGGAGGTACACCTAGAAGGTGACATGATCGAAGAAGAATGAGATGACGATGGATAACTTGGGAGCAAGAAGGGTTCCGACTCTACTGGGAAATGAATATTTTCATGATTTATGGGAACACTAACAAACCCCACATGAAACATTTAAAACTAATCTATGAACATAACAAAGGTGTAACGATATCATGCGTCTTTATTCCTTTCTTTCAAAAAGATGAAACAAGAAAATTGTTACAACAAAATAGATTTCACTACACCTTCGATAGATGGCGCTATTTTAAAACCCCCCGAATCTAAAACTACCCAACAATAAAATGTTGACTACACACACAAGGATCGAATTAAGCAATTATACCCAATTTTAACCTATTAGACATTTAAATATTAAAAGCGACGTCTTTCTTATTATTATACGACCAGCTGTTGCTCGCGACTTCGTCCACGTGAAATAAAATAATTGTGTAAAATAGAGATATTGCAGAGCTTTTAATGGGAAAAGAATTTTTAAAATCGGTCTAGTAGTTTTGGAGTTATTTCAATACATACAAAAATACAAATCTTTCCTCTTTATATTTATACTAATATCATAAATGCGAAAGTTTAGATGGATGGAGGTTTGTTACCTTTTGTAGCCTAAACGGCTGAATGGAATTTGATAAAATTTGGTATAGATGTAGAGGATAGTCTGAACACCTACTCTCTCACTTTTTTTTCTAATTTCACGCGGTCTGAGTCGCGGGCAAAAGCTAGTATTAGTATAAATGTTGAAATATTTAAAATTATATGCCTCTGGAAAACATACAGCATTGCTTATGAAGATGCGTTATATACTTAGCTTGAATTTCGCGGTCATTCGCCGTTGACAGG